CACGGGGGGAGCAGAGGCTGAGCCCCCAGGTGAGGCTGTACCTGTGCAGGTGCACGGGGGCAGCAGACACGGAGTGGTGCCTCTGCCCTGCAGCAGCAGCCCCAGCTCGCTGCTCGTGCTCTGGGATCTGCTCTGGGGAGTGAGCAGAGTCAGCCCCGGGTCAGAGCCGAGATCTGCTCCGTTCTGCAGCCCCGGGGTGCCCAGAGCTGTGCTGGCCGGGACCCTCAGCCCCCGGGCTGTGCCTGAGCCTGCCGTGCTCCGGAGGGATGGGCTGGCTGTGCTGCAGCATCCCCTCCTTCCCTCCCTGTGATTAATTTGTGCTCCTGCATCGATGCCTTTCATGTGTGGAGGAGAATGGGTTTTTCACAGATGAGTAAACATCTCCTTGGGTTTCATAGCTGTGGGGCAGTTTCATTTATTGTGTTTTGGGTAATAACACAAGCTGCCAGTGTTCCTGAAGCTGAACTGCCTCTTTACAGAGAGAATGATTGACACAAATGGGGCACATCAGTCATCTGGGTTCAGGCCTGACTTTTCCGAGCCTCCTTTCCCCAAAGGAGCCCTCCCCCAAGCAGCAGCCAGGCTGCTGCAGAGGCGTTTTTGTCAGGAGACAAACCCAAAAATCTGTGTGCTCTAGTAATCACTGCAAGCTAATTGCAGCAAATTAATTACAGCACAAACACAATTTCTTTCCCCAGGCAGGTGTGGAGATGGCTCTGCAGTGAGCTGGGCTGGCCCAGCCTGTGCCAGGCTGGCTCTTGTCCCCTGGGCTGGGGCTGGTGTCACTCTGCAGCTCCTGGGTGTGTCATGGACTGCAGAGCAGGAGGGTCAGCACTGCTGGGGGATTCCCACAGCCCAGGTGAGTGGGAGGCAGGTGAGGGGCCCCATCACACCCTGCCTCTCCAGCTCCTGCCTGGAGTGACAGAGCACCACAATATTTCCATTTGTTGCCAATATTGTCCAGTCCAGTCAATCAGGCTTTGGTCCTTAAATCCTTTTAATCTCTTGCTTTTCCTAAGTTCATTAGGCTTTCAAAGCAAGACGTAAAAAGACAAATGTCCTCATGGTAAGTCAGTGATCCCTGCAGAAGTGCTGCCACATCTCTGATGTCAAGCTTGGTCCAATGGCCCCAGGCTGAAATGTGTGAGAGGATGTATTAGAGAGCTTTGAAAATAGTTCAGTGCAACCACTGCATCCCTCTAGGCCACTTTAAACTGAAGGGTGAAAACATTTGTGTATATTTTCTTCATTAAAAAAAATCATAAACACACTCAGCATTTTTCATGCAGAACATCTATATGTAACAATTTGATTTTGTCTGTTCTGGCCAGATGTTTTACTGGTTTAAAATTCTGTGTCTGTAAAGAAAGTAAATCTCAATAATTTATCATCAGTCTGGTTGGGTGTCTCCCCAGACTTACTTTACAGTCAGTGCTAACTGGAGTACAGGTGGCACTGGAGACAGCTGCAGGTGTGGCTGCCAGCACTGACACTGGGATGTTTTAGGTGTGTTTCAGTAGTTTTAGCCCAGACTCGTGCAGCTCTCCAGGTTCAGGTGTGTCAGGCTGTTTTCAGGGGCAGGACGCTGATTTCAGTGGTGTTTGATGCTCAGACATAGCTCAATCCAGGTAACACCTGGTTTTATCTGGCTCCTTACGTGCAGGCAGTGGCAGCAGGGTTAACGTGAGGCTGCCCTGAGACATGCAGAGATTAATCATGGGACGAGAATGCTCCTGCTACGTCAGTGCTGCTTCCTTTGTTAAGTTCCTATTGCCTCAACTTCAATAGCGAGTCCTGACCTTTAAAACCACCTTCCATAATCTTCAAATTAAGTGCGTGGAAGTCTGAGGCTTCCTGTGGGCTGTGCTGGCAGCTCCCTGCACCTGCCCGAGGTCAGTGACCTGAGCAGCCGGCAGCCAGCTCCTGCAGCAGAGGCTGAGCAATGCCCGGGGCTGGAGGCCCTGGGGCTGAGCCCTGGGGAGCTCCGGGGGGAGAGCAAATGTCCAGGAACCTGCAGAGTGCTCCTGCTGAAGTTCCTGCGCTGGGCTCAAGTGTGAGACTTGATGGAAAGTGTTGCAGAGGGCCACTGCTCCCTGACTGAACCCTGTCACCCACTTGCAGTCTCTGACAAAAGCTTTTGTCTAACATGTTTTTAATCAGTGTGTGCATTTCAATTTGCATATTAATAGCAAGGAGCTGTTATTACAGCTGCTGCTGATGAGATGGTGTCAAGCCCATCTTCCCATCTGAGGAAAGAAAGGAACTGCATCTATTATGTGAAGAATGACATTGGCAGAAACATGTCTGAGGATCGTCCATTCTTTGTCTCTATCTTCCTTTATCTCTGCCTTTATTTTGCTCTTAATGGCTCATATGGATGCATTCATTAAACTTCTTTTTTTCCCCTTAGAACAAGGATCATTTAACAAGAGATGGGGACAGGATTTTGTGCCTGTTGTGACAGCTCCAAGCTAAACACAACAGACTTGTTCAGTGTTTCTGACTTGTAAAATGGCAAAAGGTGGCCCTGCTCTGGGAGCCGTTCTTGCAGCTGACCCAGAAGAGTAATTAAGCTGCTGTAATGAGCCGTGGCTCTGCTCCCCAGCCTTGCACAGCTCCAGGTGCTGGCTCCAGCTCGGGGCCAGCCTGGCTGTGCTGGTGCTGCTGGCACAGGGGCAGGTGGAGCGTGGCTGCTGCTCCTCAGAGGATGCTCGGGAGGACTGGGACAAGGGAGAGCTCATGGACAGGGCAAACCCTGACAAAGGAGAGCTGTGGAAATAGAAAATGCCGAGGAAGAATCCCGAGGAGAAAGCACTGCCCAGCTCCACTGGCTCTCTGTTATAGCAGTGAGGATCTCAGGCTTTAGGATAATAAGGTTTACAGTGAAATTAGAGTACCCAATAGATTCAGTGACCAGACAGGCTTTAGGGCAACAGATTCTTCTTTGGATCTGGAATAGAAACAACAAGCTTCCAGCCAGCTCTAGACTAGGAAAAAAAAATCAAACTTCAATTTAATATAATTATGGCAACAAATTAGACAGTGTGGGGGAGAAGGCAAGTAAGTCCCTGTAAAATTAAGTAGTATAAACCTAATTTATTATTTCAAATTTGGGAGGTTTAAATAGTGTTAAGATCATCACCTAATTTCACAGGGGTTGAAATAAATTTGTTGTTTTGCATTGGACAGAAGGCTGGAACTGCCAATTGCCAGCTGAGGCTGCACAGGCTGGGGGTTGTGTCTGGGGGCTTGTTCAAGCCTCTGCTGCCATTCAGTGTCATGCACTCGTATGTGAAAATGCCCAACGTGGTGATTGCTGTTCTGAGAACAGGATATTTGTGTCTGTGCCAGTTCTAAAGCAAGCACAAATACAGACGTGCATTGCAAAAAGAATGTTCAAAATAAAAATATTTTAAACCGTGCTGCATAGTTGGATTGATTTTTGGATTTATTTCAGTTGTGTCCCTTTTCCCCCAGCCAATCCCTGCTCACCCCACAGAGGCTCTGGCACAGCAGGATGCTTTCTTTGGGTCACACCAGTCTTTCCCACCTGCTCCTCCCTGAGGTTTCCTTAGAGCAGGAGCCCAAATCCCCCAGTGTGCCACTGCCAGGGGACACGGGGCAGCCGTGCTGGGAACAGCCAGTGCAGCTCAGGAAATAATCCATCACCCTCTCAGCACTGAGAGCACCGTGCTGACAGCACACCCAGCCCTGCCTCCCCTCCTTGCCTCGGTATATTCATGGGGATGAGTAATAAAGTAATATTTTAAATTCAAACCCAATGGTTCAGACCCATTTCTCTGCATAGCAACACCAGGCTCCTGTCCCAGGAGGAGCATTTGGAAAGGCCTCAGAGACATTTAGCAGAAATTTCTCTTGCAAGTCAATCTAGAGAAGAGCTCTGGAGCCCTTCCCTGTTGGTGGGCTTCAATATGTGTGTTTTAAATAGTCAGCTGCTGTGTGAGTTTAATGTAAAACACGGGTATTGTGTTTAATTAAACACGCAGTTAAAGAAGAGCTGCAGTTTGCAGGGGGCTGCTCTGTGGCTCCTGCTGAGCAGGGCGAGGATGCTGCTCCCCAGAGGGACCCAGCCCTGGTGAGGCCACTGGAGCTTTGGGCAGATTTATTCCTGTGCCAGGGCTGAGCCCTGCAGGTGCTGCTCTCTCTGCTGCTGGACCAGAGCCTCTCACGCCAGGCTCTCAGAAATAGCAGCTAATTAAACCTCCTGCGTTAATTAAGCACACTCTCCTGATGAGAAGCCAGTTTGGAGGGGCTGTTCTGCAGGTGCTGCCAATGCCCTTGCCATCACCAGCAGGGAGGGAGCCTGGCCAGGGGGATGTGCCTGTGTCCCCTGGAGCTCTGGGAGCCTTCCCTTGGCTCTGGGGTCCTGTGTGGGTCAGCCAGGCTGGAGTGTGGGGTGGGACACCCCTCTGGGCCATTGCTGCACG